TATTGAGTGGAGTCTCCTTCCTACTCCTGATCTCCAGTCACCCCTACCTCCTGCCAACTGGTTTTGGTGTTTGTGTGTTCTTCCAGAACACTTCCAGCAGGTATAGACATTTCAGAAACAAATATATTGTTTTCCACCCCCCCTCACAAATGATACACATATTACACTTTTATTTGTTTATTTTTGGTACCAGGGATTGAACCCAGGGGTACTTAACCACTGAGCCACATCCCTAACCCTTTTTATATTTTTCTTTGAGAAAGGCTCTCACTAAGTTGTTCATGGCCCTCATTAAATTTTGAGGCTAACGTTGAACTGACGATCCTCCTGCCTCAGCCTCCCCAGCTGCTGGGATTACAGGCATGCGCCACAGCGCCTGGCATGACTCATTTTTTATTTTTCAATATTTATTTTTTGGTTGTAGTTGGACACAATACCTTTATTTAATTTATTTATTTCTATGTGATGCTGAGGATCAAACCCAGGGTCTCACACGAGCTAGGCAAGCGCTGTACCACTGAGCCCTAGCCCCAGCCCACGACTCATTCTTAATCTTCGAGATTTTTTTTTCATACCAGTACATAATGAACATCCTAGATCTTTTCTGTGGCTACATCTTTTTCCATTGTAAGACTGTATGTAATTTATTTAACCAACCTCCTATTGATGTGTATTTGGGTTGTTTTTAATCTTTTTCCCTTAAAAACAGCAGGGCAGGGCTGTGGATGAGAAATCGCATTGGCAGTCAGGACCCTGCCCCACAGAGGAGAGAGGGTGGGGCTGGGAGCCTGTGCACTGGGGTTCTTATTTGACCTTGCAATGATCTCCACAGCCCATTCAGCTCATTTCTTTGGGTCTCCACCTCTCCAGTCTTTCATTCTTTCCAACAGTTTTGTTTTTGGATGCTGGGAATTGGGCTTGGAGCCTTGTGAAGCTGTTCTATCTGAGCTACATCCCAGACCCTCTCCAACACTGTTTACTGAACCCCCCCCCCCCAAAGACAGACATAATCCCTGCTTCCAAGGTCCTGACATTTTAATGGGGAGGAGAGAGATGAATAGCAAACAGGTAAACAAATAAATACAGAACATGTCCAAAGGTGAAAATAAATAAGTCAGAAGAAGGAAATATAGGGTCTACTGGGAGTGTGGGGGAATATTTTAGATAAAATGTCTAGGACCTACAGAGATGGCATGTCAATAACTATGCTAAAACCTGGGAAGAACATTCCAGAATGGAAGCTTTGAGGCCCCCACAGTCAGAACAAGTTGGCTGTGCTTGAGGAACGTAAAAGAGGAGGAGCAGCTGTGAATGGAGCAAGAGGAACCAAGGGAGACTGAGAAGGAGAGCTGATTTGAGGTGCAGGCTTGGAGACCCTTTTGATGAATTTGAATATTATTCCAAGCGGAACAGGAAACCACTGGAGTGGTTTAGCAGGGGACTGATGAGACTTCCTTTACATTGTGTAAACTTTAGTTGGCAACCCATTTGTACCACTCTTAGGTATTTATCCAAGAGCAACGAGACCATATGTCCACGCAAAGACTTCTATACACATGCTAGTGCGGCTTTATTCACAGTGGCCAAACTGAGAAAAACAATCTCTGTGTCCCTCCACAGGATAATGGAGAAACAGGCGATGGTATATCTATACAGTGGGTGGTCAGCCACAAAAGGATACACAGCACACGGGTGACCCTCACAGGCATGCTGAGCTAAAGACGACGACTACCCCTCAGAGCCCCCCCAAAACAGTACATTTCCATTTCTGTCAATGCATTCTATATAATGGCTGGGGGTTAGCTCAGTGGCAGAGCACTTGCTTAACATGTGAGAAGTTCAGGGCCTCTCACATGTAAATCAATCCCCAGCACCAAATAAATAAAATAAAAAATGCAAAGTAATTTACAATAACAGAAAGCAAGTGGGGGAAGGATCAACTGCAAGGGAGTAGGAAGGAGTGATAGAAAGTTCTATATCTTGATTAGGTGGCCGTTACATGGTGGTATACAAGTGTTAAAACTCACTGAACTAGCTGGGCACGGTGGCTCATGCCTGTAATCCCAGGCTGAGACAGGAGGATTGCGCATTCAAAGCCAGCCTCAGGAGCTTCGAGCAACTCAGTGAGACCCTGTCTCTAAATAAAATACAAAATAGGGCTGGGGATGGGGCTCAGTGGTTGAGTGCCCCTGAGTTCAATCCCTGATACCAAAACAAGACAAAACAACTCACTGAACTAGTGTACTTAGTATGGCTACAATTTATTGGGTGTAAATTATAACTATTAAAGCAGATTTTAAAAAGATAACTGACTTCTGAGTGGAGAGGTCCATTTTGGAAGTTAATGCAGTAATCCAAATAAGAGAATGGTTGAAAGGGGTGAGGGGAGTCAGGCCATGCTTTGTGGGTGGGAGGATTGGACAGCGGTGGGAAGTGAGACAGGGGAAGAATTGGAGTTCAGTCCAGGTATGCACCTGGTCAATATGTGAGCCCTTCAGCAATATGACAGAGACTGAGGGTTCAGCAGCTTTGGAAGGAAATTTTGCCTCCAGTTGTCCAAGGAAGCGATTTATCATCTTTTTGTTGGGTGGTCGGGGGTGGGGGGGGGTGTGACAGGGGTGGAACCTAAGACTTTGTACATGCTAGGCAAGTGCTTTTACTGAGCTAAATCCCTAGCCCTTGTATAATCTCTTGAGATCCCTTCTGACCCTGTAATTCTTTGTTTATAAGCCCTCCGTGCCAGGCAAACATGTCATGTGGGAAAAATCCTTAATATCTTGTCTTACGGATATGAAAATTGGGGCTTAAATAGACTCTCCTCCAGGGGGAAGCAGGTTAAGCCAAATCTGGGCTTGGGTCTTCTTTTTTTCTTTCTTTCTTTTTTTTTAGTTATACATGGACATGATATCTTTTTTTTTTTTAAGAGAGAGTGAGAGAGATAGAGGTAGAGAGAGAGAATTTTTTAATATTTATTTTTTAGTTTTTGGCGGACACAACATCTTTGTTTGTATGTGGTGCTGAGGATCAAACCCGGGCCGCACGCATGCCAGGCGAGCGCGCTACCACTTGAGCCACATCCCCAGCCCCTGGACATGATATCTTTATTTTGTTTGTTTTTATGTGGTGCTGAGGATTGAACCCAGTGCCTCACATGTGCGAGACAAGGGCTCTGCCACTGAGCCACAACCCCAGCCCTCTGGTCTTCTTACTTTCTATCGTATTATTTAACTTTTTCTGAGAGCTCATCTATCCTGCCTTTTCACTGCCCTGCCCTCCTGGGGAGTTTCTTCCATTAAACTATGAGCTTTCTGAGGACAGGATCTATGGTTTGCTTTGTTCCAAGTCATTTGGCAAATGTATATTAAGTACCTACTATGTGCCACATACATACTAGAAGTGGATATATGGTAAGCATGTTTTCTCCCCTCACCTGTTTGTAGTCTGTTGTGGAGAGAGATATTTATCAAACAGTCTCACTGCTAAATGTCAATTGCAGTGATCAGAAGGGCCCACAACGTAACAGGTACATATAAGATGTTGGAAAAGCATTACAAGAGCATGCAATAGCGTGATTGCCCAGTTGGGGGGCAGTGTTGGCTCTTGATTGTTAATAGAGGAGGATGTGGCAGCCATAGAGATGAGTTGTTTGAATATGCCTTCAAAAAGAGTTTGAATAGTTCAGTGGCAGAGTACTTACATAGCATGCCCAAGGCCCTAGGTTCAATCCTGAGCACTGAACAGAAAAAACAAACCTAAAACTCCTTATCCTCCAGCTTCAGGAGTGACGGTTTACAGGTCCAGTGCTTTCGAGGCAAGGCCCCACTCTTTCTGGGCATCTTCATGGTGAGAGTATTGGAACCTGGACACTTCTGACAAATGGGTTCTCCTCATTTTTTGTTTCTGCAGCTCTTGTTGGGCTGCCCAATCTTTGTCAGATAAAGCCTCTTCTTGCCCAATCCTATTTTTTCTATTTTTCCCTTCCTCTTTCATAAGTGTCAACCCTAAAAAGTTAGGGTGCTTCCTGGGGTACCTGACCTGACAGAGAAGGACCTGGCAGCTGGGTTATTGAAGGACAAGGAGAGTTGGACACTGTGCTTAGAGGCTTTTTTTTTGGTATTGGGGATTGAACTCAGAGGCACTACATCCTCAGCCCTTTTTATTTTTAAAAATTTTTGATAGGGTCCTCCTGCTAGGTTGCTGAAACTGTTCTCCAAATTGTGATCCTCCTGCCTCAGCCTTCTGAATTGCTGGGATTCAGGTGTGCGTCACTGCACATGTCTGGTTGCAGAGCATTTTTTATATAAAAATTGACAAATTGCCATCACCCATTCCGAAGTGCAGGAAAGGACTGGAAATAGAATAATACTAAAACTGATCTCAGAATTCATTTAGATAGTAGCTCTATGATATTTGTCCATTCACACACTCAATAGGTTCCAACTGTTATTGTCACCCAGTTTCTGAGTGATGGGAGTAGAGTCCCTCAAGAAACTATGTTGGGCAGTGGGTGTGACTTTCTTGTAGTTTTCCCTTTACTGTCTAACGTGGGGTTCCTCCTGGCCCATGCAGAACTTTGACAAAGTCTCTGAAGACTAAGGGATACATAACCTCAAAAATAAATGGATCTGGGGGCTGGGGTTGTGGCTCAGCGGTAGAGCACTCGCCTAGCACGTGAAAAGCCCTGGGTTCAATCCTCAGCACCACATAAAAATAAAATAAAGGTATTGTGTCCAACTACAACTAAAAAAATAAATATTGAAAAAAAAAAAAAATGGATCTGGGCCCCAAGGCTGGGATTGCCTGGGAATCTCCGGTCGGCCAGCACGGCCACGAGGGGGCGCCGCTGTCACGCACAGCATCAGCCCCCGCTCGTGCTGGGTGTGCGCTTTCGGGCCGGCGGTGGGGGCGTGGCTAGCGTGCGCACGGGGCGTGGCCAACATGCCCGCGGGCACGACTGGAGGCGGGGCACGCGGCGGGCGCGGACGCGCGCGGCGGCAGCGCGTTCCGTTCCGGGCCAACGCTGGCGGCGGAAAAGTTGCCGGGCGGAGAGGAGCAGCCCCGGGACGGGCAGAGAGCGCGACGCGGAGCCGGCTCCCGGCCCTGACTGCCCCGCCATGGACGACCTCGGTGAGTGAGCGGGAGGCCGCGGGAACAAGCAGCGAAGGGCGCGCGGCCCGGGGCCCGGCGGGCGCGAGCGAGCGGCAGGGGCCGCGGAATCCCACCCCCCGGCGGCCCACACCCGGCTCCAGTCCCTGCTGGCCGGGGTTCCGCGAGGCCGGATCCCGAGCTGGGCCTGAGTCCTGGGCCAGGCCAATCCCACCGGGGTCCTCTCAGCAGTCGCCCCTCACCTGGGGACGGCCCATCTCTGGACCCCCAACCTCGGCGACCCGTCCCCATGTCCCAGATACGACCCAGGTACCAGCTCACCCCGCGGGGACCCACTCGGTCCTCCTCAGGCAGGGGACCCGCTCCCTGGGCCAGGCTGCCTTCTCAGGTGCGGGACCCTCACTACGGCAGACTGCTCCCCACCCCCACCGCAGGTATCCCCTGCCCATCCCTAGGGACAGCTGCCCAATGTCATGGGCTGGTCTCGCATTTCTGGGATCCGCTTTCACTCCTTCCAGGGCCGTCCCCAGCTTCAGGCATAGTCCCTCCGAGCCCACCAGTTTCATTGTACAAGTCGGATTCATCAACTAGAGATGAGCAATGCATGACCACACCCCCAATGCAATGACAAGTTTCCCAGTCTACTCTCCTAACCACTAAGCCCCCACCTCAGTCTGGTCACAAGGTTTCATGGATCCAGTAGTGGTCCATTTCCCTGTAGGGACCAGCTGTCCAATCACAGACCGCCCCACCTTAGAGGGGCAAGATGGGGAGTCATGACCCCTCCCCAGGCCCCGGTGAAATGCCAGAGGAATGAGGTGGGAAGTGGGTCGCAAGGTGTACCATCGCGAACGTGTCCTGGCTGGCAGGGTCCCCCACTCCTAGCATCAGGTGCTGCTGGAGCTACGCAGGTAAGGAGGACAGGACGCCCAGAACAGAGTTTTACTGTTTTCATGTTATTGGAGATCTGAGGTTGCTCTTTTCAGCCCAGTCTTGATTAGAACAGGGGAAAGAAAGTATCTCCTGGAAGCCAACTGTAAACCCAAGGGAGTTGGTGCCAGGGTTCTAGGAAAGCCTTGAGCGGCATGAATCCCAGACAGGAAGATTCAATGTCTGTCTCTCCCTTCGGAGATGCAGAGGTGAGGCGAGGGGAAGGTTTCTTCTCTGTAGGACCCTTGTCTTCCCTCTATGGACTGTGGGTGGCTTGTGTGACCACTGATGCCTCTTCTGTCCCAAGCTCTGAGGAGCAGATTCATCAGATAGGACTGATGGGGCTTTCCCATGCAGCACAGGGCACTAAGTTAAGACTTGCTGTTTGTATGCATTGGACTCGACTGTTTCCCTGTAGCTTCCTTGCGAGGTCAGGGATCCCCTAAGAGGTCCTGGAGCTGAGGGAGGTGTAGGGTCCTGCCTGTTTTGCAGAGTGCAATGGTTGCCAAGCATAGTTCTGCTTTTGGGTCAGGCTTGGCACCCATTTTTCCAATGTACTCAAGGTTGGCATGGATTCCAGGCAGGTATTTTTGTTCACATAAAAATAACTAAGCTGAATGGAGGCTGGGGATGTGCTTTGAATCAGGATCTGAAGGTCTTATTGCTTTCCCAGTGGGAACTAGGGAGCAGAGTTACAGTTTCTAACATGCTGGTGGGGTTCTGTTGCTTCTGGACAGTCCCCTGGCTGTTTGAAGGACTGAGAAAGCCTTTGTAGAGTTCGCAAAGTCCGGAATTCCTGTCTTCTGACGGTCTTCCATTTAGGGCCAGGAAACTGAGTTAGTCTCTGAAAGAAAGAGAGTGTACTGGCATAGAGGATTGTAGGAATTGAAACTTGCTATTTATGGAGTACTTCTCTATACCTGGATTTGTCCCATCCTCACAATCTTTTTGGGAGATCTCTCTGAGGCCATTACCATCATGACTACCTGTCTTTACAAATGGAAAAAATTGGGACAAAGGCTGATTCTCCCACCTCAGGTTACACAGTCATGAAATGGCAAAAGCAGGAGTGGAAGTCCTTTCCTTAGCTCCTTGATCTACAGCTCTTGTGTACCAAGAAACATTTCTTCTTGGGGCGGGGGCAAGTAGGCTCTTGAAGAGGGGTTGCAGTGGGCAACGGCTGCCACCTGTGATTTCTGCGCTGCTCCCCCTTCCCCCTGTCCACCAGACTCTCCAGTTGCTTGGATCTGGGCTGTCAGACTTCCTTGGCCTGTGTTCCCAGGGGGCCAGCCACGCCTGGCTGACTGGAGCCTGGGGTGGGAGGAATGGGGTGTGCAGGAGGGGAGAGGAATTTGCCTCTGAGCCTAGGCCCCGTCAGCTGTCTGGATGGTTGCTCTGGACACTGCCTGTCAGCTGTTTTCTTTAGTTAGGGTAGACACAAAGGCCAGGCCTCTTGTTTTTATTTTGCTTCTGAGAGTGCTCTCAGCTGTGAGTCTCTTGGTCCTTAACACAGGTGAGAGTTTACATTGGTCTGTCCTGTGGCAGGGTTACGGGGAGCACAGCCCTCTTTGTGACTTTGTTTTCTGGTCTTAAAAAAAAAAAATGGAGAACTCTTCCCCTCCCCATAGTGGCTGGTGACAGAATCACCATGTGCTGTTTAATAAGTTACAAATTTATAGCTCTTTGGGCAGAAAAACATAAACACAGCATGTCCTGCCCTTCTCTGTGTGTTCTCTCCACTTCGGGCTGCTGGGTGGCTGCTTGGTGGCTTTTCTCATTACTGTTTAGATGCTGGTTTGGCTGGGAGTTCACTCTGTTCGGGTCTGGCCGAAGTTTCCTAGACAGAGTTCCCACAACACTGCGATGTGCTCTGATTATGTTTTCTGCCCCGACTCCTCTCTCCCACCTTGTTCTCATTCCTAATGAACGGGGAGAGGGGGGACAGTGTGTGACCCCTGCTGTGGCCTAACCATGATCATGTGTGCTCTAGGGGAGAAAAGCAACATACTTAGAACTTTTCAAGGTCTGTTACAACTGTGCAAGAGGGAGGTGCTTTATCTCTGCTTTCCAAATGCAGAAACCTGAGCTCAGGGAAGTTCAGTGGTGGGGCAGGGGTTTGAATCCAGGCTGATCCAGTTCCAGATCTGGTAATCTTAATCATAAGGCAGTAGGTGCCAGTGACCAGCCAGGGGATGAGCCACAAGGCCTGCTGACTACTCAATAGTTATCTTGAAAATTTCTGCCCTGTGGGCATCCCTAGGAAATGACATGTATGGCAAAGGGTGGGTCCAGTTCAGGACTTGATAGTTTTGCCTCCCATTCACTAGCGGGGTGGTGGGGGGAGGACAGGACAGCCAGCTGTTGGCAGTGCCCCGTTGCTGCTGGAATCTGGACATGTCTTCTCTCAGCTTCTCAGCAGTTTTGACCCTTTGGAAAACAGTGCCTCATTGTCCTTGGGGGCAGTGCTAGGGGGGCAGGGGAGTTGCCTAGGGCATTCCGGGCTTTGGAACCTCCCTGTTTCCATGGAAAGTCTGTACTTTGGGCTTGCCCGTCTGTGATGCCTCTGTGTGTTAGGCCAGGGTCAGGGCACCCAGCTGCTTGGCCTATGGCAGAGGCAGCATTTGCTTATGGAGTGATGGTACCCTCCTGGTGGGTGCTTCCTCAGCTGGATGCTAGTGAGAGACCAAGCTGGGATTCAAACCGTGGTGTGTTTGATTCTTAAGCAGGTGCCCTTTCAGATATGGAGTGGAGAGGTTAGTGCCCTAGGGGGCCTCAGCTCCATTAGTATGGGGTCAAGGTCTTCTGAGGGAATATCTCAGTATTCCTTTTCCTGTTCCCTAGTGATGGCCATGAATTAGACAGGTTAGGTGGATCCTTGACCAGAGGGCCTCATGGAGGGCCAGAGTTACAGCTGAGGCTCTGGGTACCTCTCTCCCCCATTTATTCAAAGCACATAGTTTTTGGCCTTTGAATCTTCTCTCTGGTCTTTACCATGTTCCTAGGCCAGAGATGTTGAAAGACATTCTTCCCAGCTTTATACCAGCCTTTCCGTGGGTTGTCCTAATCTTAGTGCTTTCATTAATAAAATAAATATCTATAGAATACTTTTATTTTTTGAGATGGAGTCTTGCTATTTTGCTGGTCTTGAACTCCTGGACTCCAGTAATTTTCTGGCCTCAGCTTCCTGAGTGGTGGGATTATAGGTGTATACCCTGTGCCTGACCCATCCTTTCCATTTCTTTCTTTTCTTTTGCTTTCCTTTCCTTCCTCGTCCTCAGGATTGAACCCAGGGGTGCTCTACTGCTGAGCTACATCTCCAACCCTTTTTATTTTGAGATAGTGTCTAAGTTGCCCAGGCTGGCTTTGAACTTGCCATCTTCCTGCTTCAGCCTTCTGAGCAGTTGGGATTATAGGTGTGTACTACTATGCCCAGCTTTATACTTTTCTTTTTTTACAGTGTTTACAGAATAACTCTTTTCTATAATTTTTTTTAGAGGAAGAAAGGTTTATTTTGTTTCGCTGTTTCAGAGGTCTCTGTCTGTGATTGGCACTTTCCATTGCTCTGGACTTGAGGTGAGGCAGAATATCATGGTACAAGGGCATGGCAGATGGAAGCTTCTCAGCTCATGACAACCAGGAAGCAGAGAGAGAGGGAGGGGGGAAAGGGGGAGGAAGAGGGAGAGGGAGTTAGAAAGAGAGAAAGCGGGCTTCCAAAAATTTTATTTATTTCTTATTATGTGTAGGCACTGTGCTGGGGACTGTCACATTGAATCATGTCAGTTGTATGGGGCAGGTTCTGTTAATTTTAGTATTAGTAGTGACAGTGGTACTCATTTTACAGAGGAGGAAACTAAGGAGCCGGGAGGGAAGCCCACCTGCCCAAGTTCTAGTGAGAGGCAGGGCTAGGATTTGAATTCAGCTTGTCTGCAGAATCAAACTTATAACCAACTATTCTTTATAGTTCTTTTCATGCTACCATATTTAATCTTTGTCCTATTGATTTGATTGCTTTCCATTTCTGGGACACCAAAAATCTTTTCTGTTTCTTATACTCCTCATTCTCTGTTCAGTCTCTCCACTTTTGTCCTCTT